TCTAGTAAGCCTCTGTCCTATGATACCCTTATTCTTGAGTTCGGGACTAGGAACATACATAGTCTGGTTGGTGGCAGGGACAAAAATAGTTTTGGAAGTACTAACCCTATTATGATCGGTCTGCTTATATCTTAGACCTCTCATTTTCACAACAAGCTTGTTCAACATTAAAAGACTGTCCAGTTTTTGAGATCCACTCAAGAAGGAATGAAGTTGCTTGTCAGTGTTTCAACCTTTGCCTCTATGTTTTAATTGACTAATCTTAACTCACTAAGGCTTTTGGTTGACTCGTGAAGGTCATATATAAGTCTCTCTCTCTCGTTCAAGTGCATTAACCTTCTTAAACACAGTCTTATTCACCTTTTTAATCTTAATACTCTCATCAAATAATTGATGATAAGCCTCACGAATCTATTTCTCATCTTCCTCAAAGTGGTCACCACTATCTACTTCCTCAATCTTCCCACTATCCTTATCAGATTCACTCCTAATCCTAGTAGTGAAGGCTATAAACTTCCTACTCTCATCATGAATGAACCTCTCACTTTGATTATTTGAGATAAACTCGTCATCTGTGAGAGTTGCATTCATACCTTTACCCTAATTTCTCCTATTGTTACGACTCTCACCTTATAGTAGCCAAAACCTTAATACTTATGACATCTCATATATTGAGATTTCTTTCTAGACTCACTGGGAATACCCCCATGTCTCTCTTAAGCCTTCTTATTTCTAAACATTTTTCGAAGTTTCTTGGCGAAATAAGTTATCTCTTAATCATTAATGGTCTCTGTATTAGTAGAGTCATACCCTTCTTTACTAACAGTGTTCAAGTCAAAGACTTATCTTTCTTAGGTTTAACTATTGTTAGTTTATAAATATAGAGAGATCCAGTAAATATATATATCCTTACTCTCCTCTATTGCCGTGATTTTAGGCTTAAATCTCTCACGTAAGGATCTAATGATTTTTCTAACAATCTTAGGCTATCTTACCTAGGTTGATACTAGAATTAACTATGTCATTCAAGCTCACATGGAAGTTATCGAATGTCTCATCATCCTTCACCCTAATCTCTTCAAACTTTGTGATCAACATTTGCAACTTAACATTCTTAACAGCATGAGTTCCCTCACGTGTAGTCTGTGAAATATCTCAAACATGTTTAGCAACCCCACAAATAGACACTCGCCTAAATTATTTTGGTGACACAACCATAAATAAAGCATGTAAAGCCTTACTATTCCAATTATACTTATCTAAATTAGTCTTCAACCAATTAGATATAGGAATAGGGATGACAACATCATTAACGGTGCTAGAAGGGGCAGTCCAACCATTCACCGTGCTCATCCATCAATTTCGAGAAGGCTCTCATTCTAACTTTTCAATAAACATAGTTACTGCCATCAAAATATGGGGGGAAAAACAATGAACTACTCATCTAGAAAACTAGGATTAGAAATCAAATTTGGGCTCTGATAGCAATTCAAAGTTACGAGTTTGACCCTAAAATCTCCTAGAGGGGTTGAATATGCGAATAACGCGGAATTAAAATTGTCAATTAGAAGTAACAAGTCACTTTTTAATTATTCTATATGTTTACTCTATCAAGTCAAGTTTATCCTATGTTGAATTGTCACAATAATAAATAAAGCAATAAATAATACGAGATTTGTTGACGTATAAATTCTTTCATTGTATACAATAAGAACTTATAGTATGATTCAATCAAGAAAACTCACTAGACTCGCTGATTTAATTCCTACAATCTCCAAAACCTGTTGGAACGTGATTTATTCACACCTACTCCCGATTTTCTGGAATTGTCTATTTCTCGTGGATTACCAAGAACATCTTGTTCTTGTACTCTTCGTGTGTTTTCGATCCAACATCTTTCAATGTTCAGCAACCTTTGAAACCTATTGAGAAAGTACATTCCTGATTAAATTTAAGAAGTTAGTTGTTGAAACTTGGGTGTGACCCGAATTCCTTTGTTGAAATGTTTGAAGTATTGAATAATTCTAATTGAAATGCACTTCAAGTAGAATTCAAGTTTGGAATGCTATTGAAGTCCTATGTCAAGTTGAAGTTCTATTTTGGAAGTCCATTGGGAGTTGGAAATTGATGTTGGACTTGAAGACGAATTTGGATGGAGAAAACAATTTGAAAAAAATAATTCAGCAGATTGCGCCGTGGCACCACCTGTGCTATTCGGATTTTTCCACGTTTTCTTTTCCTACTTCGTTTTGGAGTCGATTTTTGGCATCATATTTCATCAATAACTCTACTAAGAAGGTTTGGATATCTCTTACATGTTCCCTATAAGTATTAAGCACTTTTATATAATTTTATGGTGTGAGAAAATATATTGCTGGAATTATATGATTTATTGTAATTTTTCTCTCTTCTCCATTATTCTTAAGTCAATATAATCTCTTAATTCATCTGCCATATTCTTGTTTATAGTATTTATTGTAATTTTTCTCTCTTCTCCATTATTTTTGGTGCATTAAAATCTCTTAATTCATCTGCCATATTCTTGTCTTTATTATTCTTTTGCTTGATGTAATACTTCATTATTTGCCATATAATTTCAACATCTTAATCTGATGGTTTGTTTCACAAAAGTGGTGTCAAAGTTATTTTGGTATCTTATTTGTTTTACAACATGGGTGTTTTAAATTATATGATTTTGAAATTTTTCCCAACTTTTGGTTGATTGATCTTAAAATGTAGAATTGTTGGTTGGTCTCCAAAGTATGTTATGAAGGTAGAAAATAATGATCAATCACATTTTTCATGAAGCGGGACTTGAGTATTTATTGTATAGAGGTATTGGAGTAGTATATGATAGATATAACTCTTGAAAAATGTGAAATAGGATTTTTCGAAAAACACTGTCGCTCGAGTGCCAAGCAGACGACAATAATTTTGTTTTGGACGCTCGAACATCAGCTTGGCAATATACTAGTATAATTCCGACGACTCATTCTCAATATTCCATACTCAAACCCAAAGCCTCCTAATTCATTTGCACAATACCCCAAAAGACTTCTTGATTTGTACAACTCTTTTATAATAATCTTTTTATCTAAAAAAAATAACCAATACAACTTAAAACCTAATAGCTTTAGTAATGGAAGTGTCACTCATGTGACCTATAACTCTTCTAATCAGTCCCTTCACTAAATGCATCTAATTTATTTTCTATTTATCATAACATTGACGTTTTCCCATTAAAAAGTTCTTATACTTGTGAATAAATTAATAAATGCAACATTACAAAGTAAGCATTTAAAAAAAAAAATTTAAATTTTTGGAGAATGACAAATGGATTTCAAGTTATATTAATTAAAATTTTAAATCATACAAAACACAAATGAATAAAAAAAAAAAATACTTAAAAATCCTAAATATATGACATAAAATGCAAAAGATTAGATGATGTCGGAGTAAAAACTTTTGTCCGTTGAAGTGCAAGGCTCTATAAAAGCTTAATAAATTATATTAAATTATAATATTTAATAAATTTACATAATTGATTAAATTTTCTTCTTGTGCATATAAAACTCTCTCTCTCTCTCTCTCTCTCTCTCTCTCTCTATACATACATATATATATATACAGAAATGATCTAATGAGCACCGGTGCTCATCTTAT